GATATGGCAGATGGAAGATTTTAGGTTCTGAACGAATTTAACTAACCTTAACCTCTGCCAAACAACAGTCTTTGATTTGTTTTAGAATAAAATTAGTTTTTTTTCAAAACAAAGTAAACTAAAGATGTTTAATCACATAATTTTTTCAAACTTTGTATTTTGAAGTATATTTTGTGTTAAAAAGACTTTTTCTTAACATACATAATGAACAAATATTTGAATTTAGGTTGAATTTTATATAAAAGAAAGTCATGTAACATATAAGGTTTTGCGATAAAAATAAACTTTTAAAGAGGTTTGAACTTCAAAAAAATTCACGACATAATTTAGAATCGAGCTATGATAATGTTCTGTGTGAAAAATTTGTTAAATAAATTCTTTTCTCAAGATTACCAATTTGAAAAATTATTTAATTTTCAATTTTAAAAAAGTCACTAAGTTTATTTCATTTTCTTGCCAATAAAATCAGTAATGGCTGTTTATGCAAGTTATAGAAAATCAGATTTAGCTACAATTGTTGTAAAATTGTAACGTTTATTATTTTTAAGGAAAAAGTATATTTATAACATATTATATCTAAATTATTTGATTGATATTTCTTAAAAGAAGATTTCGCTCACTTTATCACCGCCAATGTTAAACGATTCAATATCTAGATTTTAAAAATATTTCCTTTTAAAATTTATCAATAAAAACAACATGATTTAAAATAAAAGAACTTACTTAACTAGAAATCGTATTACAAATAATTTCTTTTAATTCATCATATCATTTTTACATAATTCATTGTTCAAATTTCTTATGTCTCAGTCACAGTAAAAAACAATTTTCCAGATTTTAAAATATTTAATATATATATATATATATATATAATCAAACAGTTTAGTAAAACAGACAAGAAAATTCTAAAACTTGAATTCGTTAAAACATTCTGATATTGTGTAGCCTTGATTCGAAACCAGATGCTCTCGAATTTTGATCAAGGCCGAACAGCAGGTGTTTAAGAAGCGTATTTACACCTCAAATTTTTTTCTTCCTGGTATTTGTTGCTCAATTCAAGAATACGCAAACAAAACCGAATACGAATTCCAAGGTTGTTTAAGAAACTTAAGTCAATTGGATAAGTGATTATTATATTCCTAATGGTGCGTAGGTGTTAACAAGCAATGGAATTTTAAGCCACATAAGTGTTTATCAAATCTAAGTAATTAAAGATGTGTATGTTTTGTAGATTTGTTTGATTTATTCTCAAGTTGTTCCCTTGATTGTTTTCAAGACTTAATTCAAATACTGTTACGATTATCGATGATTTAAACACGAGAGCAAATTATTCTTTTTTTAAAAAAAATATTGATAAACTCCTTAGTAACTTGGTATGTTCAGTTTATTTTGTAGAGATTATCCATATTAAAGTATTTATAGATATTTTAAATAAACAACGACGAAAAAAATATGCTTGTGAACAAAACATGACATTCTTTTAATTTCTCAGCAAATTTTAGTAGAGTAAAACCATTTCTCTCTTATTTTAAACAGTAAAAAATATTATGGCCATAAAACATCAAGCAAGCTAAATTTAAGAATCCTATTGAGTGTAACGTATGATAAAAGAGCAAGTCCTCGTTAAGTGTTGTCTTCTTTAAGTTGGAATAATTTGGGTTCATTTAATAATTTATCTGATTTTCACTATTCAATTATTTTTTTAATTTATAGATAAAAACTGGGGCATTTTTTTTGTGATACAATTTGTTCAGTATAACACAGCGTTTCTCAAACTGTGGGGCGTGCCCCCTTGGAGGCCGTGATAACTCTACAAGGGGGCGCGAGCATATTGAAAAGTCGAAAACAAAAGGTTATTTAAAAAACAATTAATTTGCTGAAAGTAAACAAATAAAATACTTTCTGATGTAATAAAATGTAGAATATATATTTACACTGATATAATACACTTATAAATGTATCAGTACTGTACAATGTATATATTTTATTATTAACTTAACAATACTAAGTTTGATAATTATCAGTGACCCCATGGGCTTGTATTAACACTTATCTTGATAATTTGTACGGTTTATAATTAATTCCTTGCCGATTAAAAGTTACGCGATTCGCTCCCCAATGCCACCGTTTACCACGTAGACGAGCATATTGTTATGTTTTTTGAGGGGGAGAAAAGAAATAAATTAGCAAAAATCCTCTGAAATAAATAAATCCTTCACAAACATGATCGAGGTTCCTTTATAGCATTCCAAAGCCTTCGGAATTTTTTATGGATAGCACTCTGCACAGAAAAGATCGTACTTTGGAAAGACGTATATATACGTCCACAAAATTAATGCTTTGGCTGAGCGAGAAGTTTTTATACGTCGGTGGCACATAAGAGGTTTAAGCCGAATTGTAGCTTTATTTTCAAAGTATAGTATTATTGAATTCAAAACATTGTTATTGTTTGGAGGGGGCGCGATGGAAAAGATGATTGAATAGTGGGTCGCATATATTGAAAGTTTGAGAAGCACCGGTATAACAGACTTAATTTTACTTCTTATCATTTGCCAAACATGTAAATTACTTGTCCTTGGAAAAAGTAAAAGTAGAGATGACAGTTTCTCTTATCTTTATTATAATGTTACCTGTCCATATTTCCAATAGTTGTGATCATATTACCTAAACCAGGGATAAACATTAAGTCGATCGCGATCGACCGGTGGACCGTCAAGAAATTTTGGAGTGACCGCCTGAAGATAAACAGTTTGTAATTATATACCTTAACATTCAAGATTGGTTGTCAGTCTGCAGACTAAATCTTCTTTATTGACTATATAACTATGAGGACTAACTTTAAATTAAAAAAAAATGTTTTGTTTCGATTATGTTTTTGAAGTTATACTTCTTTTGGGGCGTTAGAGAAATAGGATGAGGATAAATTTTTACAATGCGCGCGCACATCGTCACGGATGCGAAAATCTTTTGTCTAGAAATATACAGAAAGGGACAAATCATTTCCGCCTTCGAAATATCAGAAAAATATTTCTCTTCACTTCCCAGAAGGAGGAGACACCCGGGTTTGAACCGGAGACCTCTGGATTTACAGCCTAATGCTCTACCACTGAGCTATACCTCCGCGTCAGCGAACCTTTGCTTTGCGTTCCGTAGGAACGGATACGAAAATGCTTTGTCTAGAAATATGCAAAACGGGACAGATCATTCCCGCCTTCTACCCCCTCCCCATATTATTGATCCTATTATCCCTGTACGGGGGTGTTTAAATTTATTTAAATCGTGATTATCTCAGGTTTGGCTGGTCCGATTGACTGAAGTTTAGTATCGTTCAACTCTGGTCGTGACCGCCTTTCGTCCTTGGCCCAGCTTGCCCTGCTCAAGATTTTTAGAAAGATTTCAATCTTGTTACGCCAAAGAAGTATAACTTCTTACGTGCGTACATAAGTACACACACAGTTTTTTTTAATTGTTTGATAATAAATGCATCATTATTTGATATTATTATATTTGTGAGGCTATTATTTGTATCTTGTGTTTTGCTTTGAACGAGGTTTTAAAAGTGAGTTTTTATTTTTATTTTAGTTACGTAAGTAAGTACATATTCCGTGTTTATTACAGTATTTTTCCGTATTTATACCGTATATACTCCGTATTTATACTATCTCACCACACCTACGCCAGTGGGTGGACCGCAACACCTTGAAAATATTAGAAGTAGCCCGTACCCTGGAAAAGTCTGCCCACCTCTGTCCTAAGCTATTACTCAAATATAGGTTATTGCAGAATTTGTTGCTGAACTTCTTTATACAGATAGAGCAACAAGAGGTAAAGGTTTTTTTCATATACCATTAGAGAAAGACCATAATCTAAATTTTAAAATATCTTAATTTAAGAAAAATAGAAAGTGTTTTAGACGTAGTATATTTTCAATTAAATGTTTTGTTGCCCATATTTGCCAAGTTTATCCTATGAAGAGTTTTAATAAAATACTCTCTGAAGTAAGTTTAAAAAATGTGTTTGGTTTACACATATCGTCGGCCTAATTATCAGAATGCGTAACTCCTTCTGGGGTGCTAATTTGATATAGGAGTATTATGCACCAAGTTGTTGTTTATGTTCGACAAGATGAGCGATAACATTACAATATGTTTACCTTGATATTTTTATCGTGTGGTAATGTGGTTTCCCTGGAGATAACGTATATTAGAGTTTTTTTATTGGGTTTCTTTCCGAGGTATTATATATAATAATTATATTACATAAATATTATTATATATAATAATTATTATTATATGAAAAATATATATGAATAATATTCTATATCATAATTACTATTAAATTATAGTTTATATATATGATAATAATATATTACATAATATTATTATATATATAGTTTTTATTATATTATATTGATATTAATTATTGATTGCTATTAGTTATTTTTAATCTATTCCTATATGCTTTATTTGAAATATATTTCAAAACAGTTCTTGACAATTATTTTCCTGATGATTTGTTATCACTAGGCCGCCATCTTGGATTTCACGTAACTGGAGAACGACCACTGCTTGGCACGATTAAAAAATCCTGTCAAACAGCGCTTGGCGTGTAGGACTCCATTATCAAATTTAGTTCTTTTTGTGGAGTTACGCATTCTGATAATTAGGCCGACGATATCCTTCCTCTTATTATAATATTTCACTGTTTAATAAGAGAAAGCTAAATGTGTGGAGAACATTTCCATTATTATTAGTTTTGAGAAAGTGATTTTTTTTTAAATTAAAAAAAATCAAATCCAAAAATTTTTTGGGGAGAAAAATAAGCCCTCGGCCGGGGAAAACGTATCTGGGCACCCGCCAAAACAAATTTCCCCAAAAAATTATTTACATTTTTAAAACCAAAAATTCTTTGACCCCAAATTTTTGGTTTTGTTTTTTTGAAAAAAACCATTTCCCCCCCAAAAGGGGAAAAAAATCCGGCTTTTTTTTAAAAAATTTAAGGTTTTTTTACAACCATTTTTCCTTTTTTAAAAAAAGGGAAAAGAATTGTATGGGTTTTTTACAATTGTTTTCGACAAAAGGGTTTTTTTTAGTTTTTTGGGGCCTTCAGTTTTTTTTTACGTGTAAAGATTTATTATTTTTCATCCTCTCCTATTTTTATCGCAATTTTTAATAGTCAGGTAGGGAAATCCCCCAGCCTCACTTTTTAAAAATTTTAAAAAAGCAATAAAATTAAAAAAGGGTAAAAATTGTCTCCCAAAAATTTTCTTGGGGAAAGAACAAGATTGCTATGACATGACGAAAATAATTTGGGAAAAAAACATTTTTTGATATACAACATTAGAAAGTGTTCCCAAAAATGGAAAAAAAGGAAATTCCGGGAAATGTTGGTCCGAAAATACATAGTCCCCCCTTTTTTCCAATTTTTATTAGGGTCTATTTTTTTAAAAAACTTTCCACGGAGATGCTTCCTGCACCGCACGTTTTTTGCCGTCGGTTGGGGTCTCAAAAGTGGTTGAGCCGTTTTTTAAGAATGCGGCTCGGCCAATTTTTGGGGAAACTTGCTTGAAGGCAAAAAGCATTTTGGAATGACGGGGTTTTTCGTGCAAAACCCCGAAAAGGAAAAAAACGGTCCCCCGCAGTGGCATAACAAAAGAATAAAGGCCCCCCGCAAAGTCAGGGTTTTTTTAAAAATAGATCTTACAAAGGGGGGGTGTGCTAGGTGTCAGTACTAGCCAGTACTTAAAGGGGGTGTAAAAAGGGTTTCCAAATCCCCCGAGTTGTGGGGTGTGTACGTTACCCACTCTGGTCCTAAAAAATTTTCTCAAAATAAAAGGTTTTAAATTTCTCCCGTGAAAGAATCAGGTCATAAATGTCTACAGTTTTTAAAAATTAAAGGAAAAGGTAATGGAGACTTAAAATACAATTGCGTAAACATTTTGATACGCTTGTTCTTCAAAAAAGAATGAGGCTGTGATAACCGCGTGTTTATGGTATCGAGCTCGCTTCCAGCATTGTTTAGTCGAATCGTTCTTTTGAGTCCAGGAGTCACTTAAGACCCACCTCGTAGAAAGGCTACTGATACACTTTAAATCTGTCGATGAACTAAGTCAGCATGTTGGCATAGTGTGGAAATTTAGAAAGTGAGGCCTAGCGTAAGTGTCATCCACGTCACTTTCCCATGGCTCAAATTAAAGTGGTCAACGGTGAGTCATCAACAACCTTTGCTTAGCTTTGAAACGAAAGGCGCTTGTGATAGTCCGCACAAAACTCAAATGTGGACATTTAATCGGTATATTACGTACATATACTATGGAACTAACTACTAAAATATATTTCATGTACAAATAAAGAAACATTTTTTATAAAAACTGATTTCGGATTTAAAAATATAATTTATTTAAATTGCATTAGCACTTCATTTGACTGAAAAAACATTAAAAAATTATATTTTATGGATAAATAGTAAACTAAGTATTCCTTTGTTTATAGATATTTTAAATTAGTTCTTTTGCTCTTCAAAATCGTGAAATCTTTAATTTGATGGATTACTTTAAAAATAAAAGTTAAGTAAATTAAATACCTATCTTCTTCAAATATATATATGTATATATATATATATAATAAAGTTTCTTATAACTTTTATCATGAACTTTGTCAATCGAATGTTTGAAAATGTTTGATAAAATTTATTTAAAGATGAAAAAAAAAAAAGTAGATGCATAAAATAGTATAAATATATCGGGAATTTAAACTTTAAGTGACTTTAAGAAGTGTGATATTTTTTTATACAGATTCTCTAATGCATTTTAATAGTATATTTTATTTTTAATGAAAACATGTATTCATAAAATCTCACATTTATATCTTATGATCTTCTATAGTTTTGCGGATTTATTTGACCACAAATTCATTTTGCGTAGATTAAATAATATCAAGGCAAACATTGACAGAAATGAAGTAACTATACTTTTTGATGTTCTAATATTCTTTTAATCAAATATTCATGGAACTTCTATTTTAAATTCATCCTAATAATTTATATTATCTCTCCAACATCCTAAAAGTACTAGAGATTATAATGGAAATACAAGTGACGAAATCGATAATTTTTTTTAAAAAAAAGTTATAAATCTATTCCAATTTTATTCCCATGGGAGAAACAGAAGTTTGATTTATTAAACTCTTCCAAAAATTGCTTCGCTGAGTTATGAATATTGACTTTCCATTTATTTTCATTTCATTGAAAAAGATGATCAAATATTTTTAAATTGATTTTCTTTGAATCCATACCTAACGAAAAATTACATTGGGAAAAAAATTTAGTTTTCATTGTTTCTACTTCTTTAGGTCATCGATTTTAAGCATTTGCAACAAACTGAAATATTACGTGAATTATGCTAATAAACGAAGCTTTTGAATTATATCATCATAAGTTCTTATGTTATCGGGCAGTTCCTAAGAACTCTTATCAAGTCTGAAATAAAATAATTTCAAATTGCAAAACATCATCAACTGAAAGTGTCTGGAATATCATAATTATTTAATTATCCGAAGAAAAAAAGCGTAGATTCTAAATACAGACAAATAATGGATGTATTTACTTATCTGACTGATTAAAAAGATACTTCGATTTAGGATATTTTTTAAAAATATTAAAATTTCAATTATAAATTTTATGTATAAGGGTCACCCAAAGGAAAATGGCATTACAGTTGGTTTGACAAATAGTTTAAGAGCATTAATATAAACTAGTATGCAAAGGAAAAAATTACTTCTGTAACCCCTCCCTCCCGCGTTGTTTAGACTCTCCCCATATTAACAGTAGAAAGACTGTCGCGCCCTCTAGCGGAAAGAACAATATTCCGTAATGGCCAAACTGCGGAACTGTAAGGACGTACGAGCATGCTCTCCTATTCCTTTCAATTCTACGCTAAATGTTAGTTCTCTACTTATGTATGTAAATGTTTGTTTTGTCTAATAAACGTATTTTAATTAACTAGTGGACTTTATTCAGAACCCCTTCCCCACGTGTCCCTTGATTACATTGAGTTACCCCTTATAATTTGACGCCCAACGTGTTATTAGTTACAGAAGCTTGGCCGTTTCTCTCGATTAATTT